CACTCACATCTGTGGAGAAGTTAGAGTCTTCATAAACTTAATGTGCATTTTTTTCAAATGTGGGAGGAAGGTGAAGGTTTTGTAGATTTGGTTTTTTTGGGGAGGCTGGAACGGATTAAAGGTATTTCCGTTCATTTCGCGAGGGAAAGATGATTTAAGGTACAAGTCTTTTGAGTTACAAGCATAAGCACAAATATTAAACTCAAGGCACCACAGTACTGGAGAAAAACCACAAAAGCTTGAGTATATCAAATAAATTCCACACAGAAGGCCATAGCCAAGATTTGAACCCAGAATTTCTCATCTGTGAGGCAGATGTGCTAACCATTACTCCAATGTGCTGCCCCAGAAAAACATTTAGACAAAAACTTACCTAAAACCAACACAGACAAATCTCTCACATTTGGCTGCGTCTTGGACTTAACTCTGGGAGAGAGGACATAGAATTGTGAGCACAAAAAGACTTTGACAACATGTAACTCAAAAGAAGAGCTTTACATTTTTCTGTAATTTCTGCTTTGTCCTTCCCTCTCCAAGCTCTTCACTCTTTCTGTCGCATCACTTAGGCATTTTTCAAAGACTTTTTGCTCTAAACTGCTCCCTGACAGTCCATCCCGAGACTTCCTGTGCTCCTCTTGTTTTCTGAGCAGCAGTTGAGGCGTGACCACTTTTTGAGTCTGCCTTTGTTTGGTTGACGCCTGAATCACAACAGTAACAGACGATCATAATCAAAGTGTCTCTGTTAGAAAAGCAGACCACGGTCGAATAAGTGAACGCTACCTGAAGTGTGCTGGCTATCGGTCCAGCCATCATACCGCGTCTAATCCGACTGGGTCGGCTCCTTTGAATGACTTCATTGACGGGAGGCTTTTTTTCAGATTCACTCATCGTAAGGCGATTGTTATCATGCCGAGACGCCATCTTCGACTGGCCGTTTTCATCTGCTGGGGCATTTAACCATGACCCAGTTTCACTGTGCTTCATGAATCTCTCTCCATCAAGTGACAATAACACCCTTGCATTGGGGGATGCTCCCTTGTCCTGTGGCCTGTGAGTGAAATTCCATTTAATTTTCGGTCAAACAAAACACGAGAACTTAATCGAAAACTTGCTTAATGACTACCTTAATTTGATGTGGTCACCAGAAACAAAGGACACTGTGCTGTGTTCTGAGTTAATTTCGTTCATTGGCGACGGCGTTCCCGCAGGAGAAAGACTAACTGAGCTGATAATTGAAGCCGACTGCAGGGAATCACTTTCCTCACCTTCACAGGCCATCATGACATCTTTGTGACCTTCAATGCGATGCTTGACAATGATCTCCAGCAAAGTCCTCAGAGGTGAACTCTGAACCTTTAGTAAAACAAATGTCATTAGATGATTAAAAATGGTACAATAACACGAATAAACTATTCTGTAATAGCAGAAAGAGAAGCAATTAGGGGCATCACATAAGTGCATTTCTGTAGACCTCGTGCCAAAAAAATTGAAAGTCAATGGGCAGCCATTACTTCAAATGTGAATTCATTAAATTTTCTATTAATTAGTCATTTGTGAAATGTGAATCAATCCATTCTAAGCCTATTACAGTTAACATGGGGCAAAAAGAAGACAAAATGCTGGATCGGTTGCTCTCACTGAATGGGAACTGAACTCATGCTGCCTGCATGAAAGTCTGTCACGTGAACCTCTACGCCATCAATGATTTTTAATCCAGAAGTGCCAGAGAAAATAGGTGGATGGAAGCTTTCTGTGCCAAAATTAAAATCAATGTGAACTACTTCATTTTAATGTAATTCCAATTCATTTAATTGTACCGTACTCAGTGATGAGGGTTTTTTCGGATCGTGTTTCATGACAACAATGTATCAGACGGATGCAAACAATGGCCCATTTCAACAATTCAATTTTTATTATTGATTCCATCAAACATCTGATTCAAACCCAAAAAATAAATTAACCATCGTGTTTCATGACAACAATATATCAGACGGATGCAAACAATGGCCCATTTCAATAATTCAGTTATTATTATTGATTCCAATCAAACATCTGATTCAAACCCAAAAAATAAATTAATATTACACTTTGCAAAAACTTTGGTAAATATATTCATGAATGGCAAATTTACAATATGTAGCATGTGCTACTTGTGCGTAAATGTGCCATATATGCTGTGAGGCAAATGTTGAAGGTCTTTACCTTATTTGCTCTGTACAAATCCTCAATGTGCAAAACTTGTCTCAAATGGGATCTGTTGTTGATGCTGGACTGAGTGCGTGGATGCTCTTCATCCATGCAGGCGATCGTCCTCTTGAGTCCCTGCACATTGGTTATATAGTATATGAATATCGCTAGAGTTGAAAATCTGCATATTGAATTTTTATTATTATTTTATTATTATTAATGTAGCCTGCAATGATGTGTGCCTTTTGACAGTTGTTTGTCAACTGTAAATTTCTGGAAATTTTGTTTGACATTAGTAGCATGCAAGTGTAGGCCGAATTAAAAAAAAACATTTTTAAAAACTACGAAGCCTTGGATTAATGCGATGGAGCTCTGGATATCTGCTCTTGAGTGACAGCTGCCAACTGCGGATGTACTCTTACAATACATATGAACATTTAAGCACTTGAATGGCGTGAGGGTAAAATATGCTTTGTAAGAAACATCTTGGAGCTTTTACAACTCAGACTTACAGAGAGTTGTTCCTCAATTCCTAAGGGCAAATGCTATGAGAAACATCTTGGAGCTTTTACAACTCAGACTTACTGTACTGAGAGTTGTTCCTCAATTCCTAAGGGCAAATGCTATATATTCTGTATCAACTTTGTGTCTAACTATTCATGCCCAGATGCCATACCGGGTAAGAAAATGTGTGAGTTAATTGAGACCAGCTCACCATGATTTCAGGATAGCGTAATTACCTTTGAAACGAAAATCTGCCATTAACTTTGAGTAAATCAATTCATTTTAATTGGCAGTGCTGATACTAGTGCATTCTCCCACGGGATAAGCGAACGCTGACTGTTTAGCATGGCTAACGTTCGTGGCTACAGGAGATGTAGAAGTGTCTTTATTTTATTTATTTAATCTCCCGGAGGCATCCAACGTACCTTTCTGCTCAGATATTCCCGCACGAGGGACGCGGACACCTCCTCCACACAAATGACCATCGCTGTGGGGAAAACTGAGCCAGATTTGCTACGATACAGCACACGGGAAGCGGCCGACTCGCTTGGCGTTCAGTGCACAGGACTGTGATATGCTAAACGCACATGCAGAATTTACTTAACGTACTGTATTTTACAAAAACAGAAAAAAACATCTCTAATAAAACTCCGTAAAAGAAAGACAGGCATACATTTCGACGAGACGTCCAGTGGGCGGGGTTTTGCCGTGACGCATAACGTTTTGCGTCACAGCACTTGCGCGTTCTTGTCTGCTCCTACCCGGTCCCATATCGTCTTTTTATGATCCGGAAAACTAAAAATGTTTCAGGTTATGTTCATACGTATAATAATTACACTACTATGTATTCAAGAGAACAAAATGTTGCTTATAAGCAAGCGCGTTCAGCTCCGTCCTTCTAAAGCGCGCCCCCGTACGTTACCATGGCGATGACACAAATATGGCAGCGGCCATATCTCGTAAATGAAAATGAATGTGCACTTTCATTCATACACGATGACCTTCCTGAATGGAGTTTGCATGTTTTCCCCATGCTTGCACGGATTTTCTCTCTACCCTGACTTCCTCCCGCATTCCCCAAAACAAGCATGCTTCGGTTAATACTCAAAATTGCCCATCGGTGTGAATGTGAGCATGAATGGTTGTTTATTTGTCTATACAGTATATGCTTTCTTGGTGACTAGACTCATGCAGGGTTGACCACACCTCTTACCAAATTCGGCTGGCATAGGCTCATGTTACTCGCATTAATGACAGAAAAGATTGATTGGATAGACTTTCATTGGGTCTTCTTATTTTCACAACATTAAATGTGTGAAATACTGTAGATCACTGTACATGCGGCATTGTGGGCAGATATAAGAAATACAGACTTTCAGAAGTGATGCAAACATTTCTTGGGGTGTATTAATTTAAATTCAGCACTGTAAATAACAATAGTGGATCTCTTGTGTCAGTCAAAAGTGTTCCATGGTAAAGTAAGTGTGTGCATCCAGTGTGTGCATTTACACGAGATTCTTGCAGGTCTCGTCGGTATAATAAAGGGACACCAAGTTTTGCATGTGTTCGGAATTTTATTACAACATTTCTCTTATAATGTATGACAAATAAGAATGTGAGCCGAGGTTTGCTTTATTGTCAAACCGTGAACTAGTTACCTACCGTTCAGCACAACTGCATATCAAATTTTACAAGAGAATTACAAGTAAAAATAATTTAAAATGACAAAAGGGCATCACAGAGGATATAATTGAAGCATTTTACTTAACTCATTCACTCCCAAAAGACATATTTATATGTCTTTTCACACGCCACACGTTCAACCCCAGATACTTTTTTTTTTTTCAATTTTTCCAAGACTTAGGGTAAAAAAAAGGGAAAAAATTGGGTCTAGAATTGGCTGGTACTGAATGAGTTTTAATAAATGATCATACTCACATTTTTTTTTCTACAATATGCTTGTCGATGTTATCATATCCGCATGAAGAGACTCACTGCTGTGGATTTATAATTTGTGTCATGACTACCATATCAAGGTCATTTCAAGTGAGCATCAAAACATTTTGTGGTATGCTTAAAAAGACACAACCACATCATTGATGAAATGATTTGGGATTATGACAGAACATTAAAGTAATATGGCAAACCTATGAGAATACTGACTTATACAAAAATTTTGTCGGTGTTTTGGCACAGGTCATACCCTATATTTATAGAGAGTGCAGCTTTACAACCGATTAACAAGTAAACACTCTGCATTTTTGTGATTTTGTGTATGCCTCCCTCAGGAATGCCAAGAACACAGCCACTTGCTTCCCTCTGTTGTATGAGCGTGAGGGACAAATACGTTTTATTTTTTTAAAGAGAGACAACAAGGAAAGTTTCCAGCGGGTGGAAGGGCCTCAGTAGTCATAAGCTGTGAAACAGAAACAGAGGCGCTGTTACCTGTGGCTCATGAAACAAAGAAGAGGAGCATGCAGTCCACTTCGAAATGAGACAGGACCGCCGGTAGGATTTTTCATGCAGGCATGCAGTCACACCAGGGTGGCCTTACTTTCTATCGTGAGGATACAGGTGCTCGCCGCAGTGCCTCGGCTGTTCACCGCCTTGCACATGTATTCGCCCTCGTCCTCAGGGAAGGTCTCTGGCAGGTAGAGGCAATACGTCTCCCCTCTCTCGATGTACTGATAGTCTTCACAGTCTTGGAGCATCTCTCCCTCAAACCACCAGGTCACCTCCGGCTTGGGCTCTCCGGTGATCTTGACGGTGAAGCGGACGGGCTCCGAGTCCACCACAGACTGGTTTTTGAGCGGTTTCTTGAACCACGGGGCGCCCGACCTGGCGTGGTCTTCGTCGTCCTCATAGGAGCCATTGACGATGCTCGCCTCATCCTCGACGTCATCCTCCTTTTTCTGCAAGTGGATGAAACAAACAATTACCAACCGTCAAAGCATTTATGATCAACAGATCTCCTGCGTGTGAAAATGGTACCTTTTGGAGGGCAGCATCGATCTCCTGTTGTTCGAACTGCATTCTCTGTAGCTTCTGCTCTTCTATCCTCCTTTTCTCCTCATCCTCTCTGGCTTTGGCCATTTGTTCAAACCTGGCTCGCATGTCCACCTTCTGTTTGAATGGCGTCTCCTCACCTCGCGGCGAAGTCATTTGGCTGACGTCTTCCTCCTACAAAACAGCAAAATAGGGACACTTGCTGAACCCCTTTTTTACTGCTGTACGACTAATATAGACACCCTTCGATTCCACACTGAGACAGTCAATTTGTAAGCAGGGACCAGATCATCATTTCAGTGTTCATTCTTTTTGTGTCATTTTTGTTTGGTGTGGTATGAGAAATTTCAAACATCAAATGAGTGTCTGCGGTTGGCAAAGGTTGGGAAATATTGGTCTGCATTTTGCCGCAGCTGTCCATTTTCTTGATTCCATTTGTCCCTTCTTGGAGAATATTCATCTCCAATTGTGACAAGAAGTAAAACATTGTATTGGAGATACTCATCCTCAAGTTATAAGTCTCACTTGATCTGATGTATGATTGAATGTGGGACTATTTATAACAGGGTAAAACAACCGCTGCTAAGCAAGGTAAACTGCGCTTATTTGAGTCGTTTGTGCAGGAGTGCATGCGAAATCGATTTAGAACATGGGCGTGTCCACGTCTCCATACAATGTTTGTGAAATGACCTCACACATACGTTATTTGTAGCAAGCTAACGTACGATAGATCTTGTATGCGTTCATACCTCCAAGAACCGTTCAGCTTCTCTCTCTTTAATTTCATCATCGGCAGCCTTCCTTCGAGCTCGCTCCATGTCAATCTTTTTCTGAATCTCTTCTTCAGTCAGCTGCTTGATCTTTTCAAACTTGGACTTCAGGTTCTTGGCCTGGATAGAGCCCGTCCTCTTTAGCTTGGTCAGCTCTTCGTACTCACTATTTACAACATAGGCGCTTTCATTCACTTCTTCCTGTGAAATCCAGAATGAATATTCATTAGCGTTCCTTCTACAGTACCTTATGTTTGGACAAAAGTATTGGGGCAACCAGCTATTCCAGCTGCAGAAAACGTATTGAAAATGGGAAAAAATATTGAATTTGTAGGTGTATATTTTTGACTTTGATTGAGGCTAACCTCGCCCATCTCTTGTCGGAGTTGTTCAAACTCCTGCTTCTCCTTCTCCAGTTTCTGTTTGCGCTCCTCTGCCTTGCGTCTCCTTTCAGCCTCCTCCTTCTCCTTCAGCAGCTCCTCAAAGTTCATCTCCAGTTTTCCTGGGTGTAGCGCCTCCTGCGATTCTGTCCTCTCTAATTCATCCTCGTCATCTAGAACCTACACACATGAATAAAATAGACAAAGTCAGACATTCTAAAGCAGAGCACCTGCATTGGATTTTGTTCATTTTTTCTGCCAGAAAATACATAGACATAGCTTTGAAACAAGAATAACAGCAAGCACATCGTTAAGTCAACCAGTACAGGTGCATCTCAATAAATTTGAATATCCTAGAAAATGTTATTTCAGTAATTCAATTCAAAGAGTGAAACTCATACACAGTATGATACATTTTCACTCAACACAGAGTAAAGTATTTCTACTACTGAAAAAATAAAACAACTACAATATTTGACTTTACTGAGATGCGCCCGTATTGTGCAATTTATTTTAAAATGCTCTCATAACAATGGCATCATCAGCAGTGCATCAACTAATACGCATTACTTATTTCCCGTCTTTTGTGAGCCACATAAAATAATGTGGCAGTAGAAGTAACAAAAAAGCATATTTGAGTAAATTGCTGCATAGGTCAATGATGAAACTATAATCATCATTTAAATCATGAACTTCAAGCAGTGTAAACCTTCTAGTCATCCTTCTGTCACTGTGTAAAAATGTATTGTATGCTGTTAAGTAAACTGGTTTGTTTGTTTATTTGATTTTGATAAAAAAAAATTCATTTCTGTTCATTTGGGGTAGAATGTATTCGAAGTTTGGTAGAAATATCTTACTGTTTCATCTCCAAATGCAGAGTTCTCCTCATCCAGGCTGGGGCTCTTAAAGAAATAATTTGGACAAGGGAACAGCAATCCAAAATCGACCATATGAGCCCATCAGAATAAAACACAATAGTTAGTGGGAAATGTTGAAACAGGTGTTAGTTTGAAGTACATTGATTTGAAGCATGTTGACATGACTTTGGAGTGTTGAATTTGGCCATATACAACCATTAGTACGAAATGAAAGAAGTCTTTCTGCTCGTTTCCAGAAAATGGTTGTAGTTTAGAAAGCGAAGCTGTTTTCTGAATCCCTCCCTAGCCGCAAACTAGTGCCCTGTATACAGTAGTAAGGAAGCCATTTTGTGGTACTGTTCAGATATGTAGGGATTATCACCTAAGGTGCTCTCAATGTATTTGACAATGCACTTTTGAAAATAAACACTCAATGTAGTGGAACACATCACAAGGATGGATGGACACGAAGTGCTTTGTCTGTATTCATTTTGTAAAATACACTCATCTTAAAACAATAGAATTCATTTATTACAGAAAGTAAACTAGATGACGTTGATCTGGTATGTTGTAATTATGAGAAAGCAAGGACAAATTTAACAACGCGCTTGAGTAGTGTTTGAAAGTAGTTCATTTGAGTGATGAATGAATTATATAGTCCACAATATAGAAAATTCCTTTATAGTGATACAGGAGAAGGGAATAAGAGACTCATTCCAAACACAGAAAATAATTTTTGGTCGTGAGGACTCACCATGCTTTTGCGTGCCTCGGCAAAGAGCCTCTTCTCCTCTTCCAATCTCTTCTTGGCCTCCTCCTCTGCCTTCTTCTGCTCTTCCTCTCTTCTCTGGCGCTCCAGCTCCTCAAAACTGGCACAGATCTTTCCAGGTTCACTGCCCTCCAAGTTCAGTAAGGCCATCAGAGCTTCGTCATCCTCGTCGACAAGCTGTGTGACAATGCAAATGAAATTTAAGAAAAGAACACCAAGACATATTTGGCTTACACATACTTAGAACTATGGTGAAGAAAAGGTTTAAACAAAACTAATGCAAAGAGTACGGAAAAAAACGGAGATGAGATGTTGCTACCGGCTCGCCTTGTCTGTTCTAAATCATTCCAAAGGTGTTTGATGGTCAGATTCTTTATGAAACATTTGTGCACTAGGACAAGAAAGGGGCTCTTCCCAAAAAGAAGTATAAACACGGAGGCAAAGGTGTGCGATGATACCAGAGAGAATCAATATCACTTTGATAATACTTTAGTTGTCATCAGTTGCAATACATTTTTACCATGCTCTTTCTGGCTTCAGCAAAAGCTCTTCTCTCCTCCTCCATCCGTCTCTTGGCTTCTTCCTCGGCCTTCTTGCGCTCCTCTTCGACTCGTTGCCTCTCAAGTTCTTCAAAGCTCAATCTTAGTTTTCCAGGTCGGAAATCTTCTTTGTCATCCGGAGATGGTGCCTGAGTGCCTTCCTCATCTTCTTCCTGGAAAGACGTAAACAGGCTGCAAGCATGAGTTGACCAGGTAGAAGATATACACTCACTGGGGATAACATTAGAAACAGCCACTTTATGAGATCTTGACCAAAACTTTTGAACTGTGGTAATAGTTTGCTCTTCCCATCATCCATCCATTTTCCGATCCGTTTTATCCTCACAACTGTTCTGGAGCCTATCCCAGCTGTCTTCGGGCAGTAGGCGGGGGACACCCTGAACCGGTTGCCAGCCAATCGCAGGGCACACATAGACGAACAACAAATCGGCATTCACAATCACATCTAAAGACAATTTGGAGTGTTCTATTAACCTGCCATGAATGGTTTTGGAATGTGGAAGGAAACCAGAGTACCTGGAGAAAACACACACAGGCACAGGGGAGAACATGCAAACTTCACACAGGGAGGCCGGAGCTGGAATTGTACCCAGTACCTCTGCACTGTGAGGTCGACGCGCTAACCACTGGACCACCGGGCCGCCTGCTAATCCCAAAATGTTAAATAAAATAATCAAATCTGTGTGCGTGTGTCTGTGTGCATATGCGTGTGTGTGTGTGCGTGTGTGTGTGTGTGTGTGTGTGTGTGTGTGGGTGTGGTGCGTGCGTGCGTGCGTGCGTGCGTGCGTGCGTGCGTGCATGCGTGTGTGCGTGCGTGTGTGTGTGTGTGTGTGTGTGTGTGTGGGGTGCGGTTGTACGCCAAACTATAGCCACATTAGCCTTTTCTTTAATGTATTTTTAGTTTGAAGGCAAAGTGATGGACATTTGATAACAAAAGATTTTGCACAAGGTCATTTTGTCAGGCCTGCTGGGGAAAAAAATCCAAACAACAACAAAAAAAAGACAGTTAATTGCTTTGGGAATATTTACCAATCCCAGGCGGGCCTCCTCAAAAGCTTTCTTTTCCTGTTGGAGGCGCCATTTGGCTTCCTCCTCTGCTTGCTTTCTTCTCTGTTCCTGCCTTTCCCTCTCCAGCTCTTCAAATGTCATCTTTAACTTTCCCGGAGACACCTGTACCTTCTCCGCGGGCTTATCCTCTTCCTCCTCAAAAGAAAAAGGTGAGAAGGAAGGTTTGAAACTTGCTGTACCAGCAAAGCTTGAATATTAATTTGTGTTTGCGTTCCAACCTCTGGGACAACCGAGCGCCGCTTGGCCTCGCGGAAAGAGCGTCTGTTTTCATCGTAGCGTCTCTTCTTCTCTTCCTCTGCTGACTTCTTCAGCTCCTCTTCTCGACTCTTCTCCATGTCCTCAAAGTTCATTTTGATTTTGCCTGGAGCTCGTGATGACTTCGTGGGGACAACATGGATCAGGATGGTGTCATCTCCTTCCTGTAATTCACCGATTTTATCATCAACCGAACATGGCACCTGAAATATTGTCTTTAATACATTTCCTCAAATTCCATAAGACGAACTACGCGAAATCACCCCATAGTTCATTTTGAGCATGCTAGGTGGATTATATGTAAACAGATGAATTTGGCACATGCAGTGTAATTGATCAAATCAAAGCTAAATTGCGATGGCTGATTTTGTGACTTAACAGGTGCAAACGGCAACGCAGTGTGTAACCCTGACAAGGAGGCATCTGCAAAATGAGGCAATGAGGAGAATTGATCATTTCAGATCATGTTGAATGTTTTGAAATGCCCAAAAATTTATCACAATGCATCACATATTCAGCAATGCAATTTTGGTGCTCCTGCATGATCCAAGATATGGCTGGAGCCAGTCAGCTATGAAAACAAAACTGGGGACTGCCTCTCTCTAAGCATTTTTTTACACAATGTCATGCAGGACGGACTCTCTGGAAGAGTTAAATCCAACAAACCATGGCTTTTATGCAGTCGGTGGCTTCACCAAACTTGTTGGGGTAATCGATGTAACTCAGAAATATGTTCGTCTTCCACTTATTCTAAACTAAGCTTTTCAATTCAATCTCTTTTATAATAACAATAATAATACATTTAATTTATAAGCGCCTTTCAAAACACTCAAGGACACTTTACAATCAAAACAAGAACAATAAAACCACAGAATTGCGGGTGAGCAGCGGCAGCTTTTGCACATTTTGCACTTGCAGTGCTCTCCCAAATGTTCTGTGGTGAAAACCATTTGCACCAGTTCAAACGCAGAACCCTCTTTTAAATAAATGTCCACCACTTTTCCACCTCTTGCATGTGCAATCTCTTGCGAACACAGAGTTGAGCACCCTCTAGTTGGGATCTTGCTAAAAGTTCGCAACCATGGTTTTGTGGCACCCAAAACCATACCTCTATATAAACAGTACCTGTCGCTGCACATTTATCGAGTTCTGTACCAAAATCTAATGGTTGAATTCCTTAGCTCATGCTCGAAACCTCCAAGAAGCCTTTTGGAACTAAATATCCTGTTTTCGCATAATACTGGTAACTAACTAAATACTGATGCTTAAAACAATACCTCAACAACAACAAAAATGTTTTGTCCAGATTTGCACCAAAATCGAATGGTTTCTTCAGCAGCATATGCTTTTTTACCCACCACCGACTTTTCCTGATGTGGTCATTTGCAGTGTCTCAGCATGAGTGCCAGTCAAAGATAAGAGTCTAATTTCGGTCACACAGTAAGGAGGTCTACAGCCACCAGGAGGTGTGAGAAACAGTTGCCAGTCATATGCTGTCTACACCTGGCAGCTCTGCGAGAGTGCTGCTCCACTTGTTTCTCAATGACCAGGTCAACTCTAAGCAGGACACACATGAGACAATAATAGTTTAAGCTAAAATTGGATGTACAAAACAGTCCTTGTGTGTGAAGACTCATGAAAGCAGTCTGAAGCATTTCTTTTTGCATCATAAAAATGAGTTTGTTTGGGCGACTTAAAAAAAAAAAAAAAAGCAAGAAAATTGAGTGGTGACAAGAAGGAAGAGTAGGTAGGCTCAATGGTTCTGTTTGTTAAATAAAACCTCTCTTCTTGTTATTACCTCTAAAAAGGCAGTTGTTTGAACAGTTTCTGCCTGCGCGATGAAACAACAAAAACTTAACGGTTGGATTGTCAAGTTGGTCACTTTACAAGCCATTTTTTCTATGGTAAAAACACATTTTTTTAACGATAGAACCTACTGTCGCTATTCTCATGAACGTGTTTGCGATATTGTGTACAGCTGTAATCTAAGACAATGTGTTGCTGAACTATAATGAGGTCAAAGGATGTTTATGGCATGTAATCACCTGTCTGGCACCATGACATAACCATTGCAGACTGTCTGAAGGTACAAAAACCCACAAACATATGATCTGCTTTTGCTGAGAATTAATTTGCTTTTTACGATGCATCTACTGTTTAAAAAGTATGTCGAGAGAGCCATTTTTTGTTTGAATCTTAAAAGTGATTTTAAAGACATAGAAAAAAATGGTGTGTTAAATTTACTCTATTTTATTTCGTCAAGTGGTTGCACGAAATAAAATCATCTGGGTCCAGACACATTTTTTTAAGGAGACATCGACTTAAAAAATGTAAAATTAGATTTTTTTTTCATTGTAGCTCATCCAAGTAACAGCAGAGGGTTATGTGAATCCTTTTCTGCTTCCCAGCTTGTAAAAGCTCCACTTTCTCAATGTGTGCTTACCTCAGCTGCCTTCTTCGCCAATTCCCTTTTGATTTTGTCTTTTTCCATGTTGTCTTGGGTTTCCCTCCTTTTTCTCTCACATTCCATCTTCTTCCTCTCCCCCTCTTGCCTTTGTTTTTCCATTTCGGCAAACTTTCCCTTCACACTACCTGAGGATTCAAGAAAACAAACTCACATCTTAAAACTTCCAGGTCCCGCTTCTTTTGGCAACCGAGTGTCTCACCTGTTATTTTGGGGACGTAGGATTTCTCCACCTTTGCCGGCTTCACTTCTTCCTCCTCATCGCTGGAAGCAAGAAGTTCTTTTATCTGCCGAGGATCAGTTGGAGATGGAGTGAGTGTTTACACTTTAGACGGGATCATCTCCACGATTGCTCGGGAGCCATGCTGCTCTCTGCAAGAACAGAAGCCTAATCCCTGATAATAAGCGGGTCATGTGACCTGCAGGTGGGTTTTCGATTGGGCTGTTGCGCGGCGAGCAGATGAGCATACTGTGTGTGTCCAGTCAGGCCAGTTATGATGGGCACAGGACATGGATGTTTGTTCTGCTCGAGTATCGCTGATAATCTGCTCTCACCCCAGTGCATTAACGCTTTTATTTCACCACCGTCCGTCTCATCTCCTTGTCGTGGTTGACAATTTGAAACGGTCCTTGATACAGTACGTTGGGTGCAAAATAATTCAAGGAGAGCTTGATTTGAAAGTGGAACAATTCGATACGGTTCGACTGAGAAGGATTATGATTCGATTTGACATGGTAGGCTCAGTTAGAGAGTGTATGATGCAATGACTTTTTTCTGTTGTGATTTTACAGACATTTGAATGAACGGGCCAGAATTGTAGATGCGGCATTTCTTTCCAAGACATAATTTGGATATGCATCTTAATATATTTAAATTGATTTGATGTGCTTGCATCTTGTTCATCAAAAATCGATTTTCTGATGGCTATTTTCATTTTTCAAATAGTAACACTTACCAAATTACTCGTGAGCTATTTTCAAAACAGGCCCTTGGGCGACTAATGTGGTCACTGGGGTGCCAACAAGCACATTCAACAAATCTTAGCTTTGGCCATCCACACAGTAAAAATTGGAGCTGAGAGTTTACATGTTCAAGTTTTGTGTGGCTTTTCTCCAGCTACTCTGGCTTCTTCCCACATTCCCAAAGCATGTATGTTACGTTCATTGAAGGCTCTACACAAGCTTTATGGCCATCGCACTGCTCCTTGTGCAGAATAACATCACGTTTGCATGATCCATGTAAAATTTTTCAGCACATGATCTGTTACTGTTCCTGCAGGCCTGCTACAACAACCGTTGAACACACCAAACTCCTAAAGCCAGGCAAAGTTTGTCTGGAGGGCTGCACTGGAACTTAGCGCCAACAAAAATTGCTGTCAGCTGGACAACCATGGGAAAGGGAATACTAAGATAACAAAAACTGCAAAGCCTATGCTGTCAAATGCTACTGATGGACTCAAGTCTGTCCGAATGACACCTAAAATAAGACAAGAAAGAAAAAGTGGAGGGGACAGTGACTTTGGGGATATCCTATGGAATTACAATCATTAAAATAAGGGTCTGATTTCAACTCAGGCATATGAGAATGTATCACCAAAACATGTTAACAGAGAGCAAAGAATGTGTGTTATAAGGTATGTTGCGGCCTGGTTTGCGAGCCGTGCCTCTTCCATCATACCATGCTTGTCACACTTGCAGGTTAGTGGGCTTATCGGGCTTTGACCTGCTGCTTCCTGCGGTTCCATTCCCTCTCCTTGATGAACTGCTCCTTCCTCTTTTGCTGTTCGTCCCTGTTCCTCTGCCTGCTGCGCTCCTCCCTGGCCTTCTGCATGGCCTCAAACTTTCCCGTCACATCGCCCTTGTCTTTGTTCATGTTGGGCACATAGCTTCTGGCCACAGGTTTTCGGGATCGGAGCAGTTTCTGTAGTTTAATAACGGAGGGGTAAGAAACTTGTGAAGCTGAGCGATTGGTTCACGTGAATGGTAATAACTTCTATAGATGTCTTACCTCTTTTTTAAGCATAACATCAGAAATGTTATTTTCTTCAGTTGTGTCAGGTGGCGCTTCCTCCTCCTCCACTTTAGCGGTTTTCTTTCTTCTATTCTTATCACAACTAGCCTTGTCCTTTCCCCTGTGTTCCGTGCCGTTCACATGTGCCTCGCCAGCCTTTTTCTTCTGTGCGTCTGGCGTCTCGCTCTTCTTCTTCTCATCCTTCTGGCTATCTGAATTGCTCACGTATTCCTTTTTACGTGGGACATCTTCCTTCTTGACCACGGCCTTGACCTGCGCCACCTCAGCCATGTTTGGATCACAGTGACAAGGTGGTTTTAATGTAAGCTGCATAAAGAAAGGAGGATGACACAAAAAGTGAAGACTTACTCGAGTAATTGTATTTGGTGCATCAGGTGAGAAAAGTACCGTTTTTTTTTCTTTTCTACAGGTTCGTTTGTGGAGCATGATTTTTCAGTAAAACACCACCGTTTCACCAAAGAGAACTGCCCCATCCCCCAGTATGTTGGGGGAAGACTTCAATAGTAGCATGGTGCTGGCTGCTATTTATAGCTCATTTTTAGGGCTGCGCAGGACGTGTGATCATGGCTATTTCAGATGAGTGATAGGCAGTTGCACAGAGCTCACAATGGCACCCACATGTCGCCCCACAGGCCCTTGACAAAATGGCCAGACAAGATGACCAAAGACTGTCGGTCAGCAATCACTAGAACCGCCGCTGTTTATCGGTGTCCTTAAATACCTTGTGCCCAAGTATGAGGATCATTGTGTGGTGAGATTGCTCATAAAAAAAAAAAATACTATTTTTCTGAAGTTAGGCCCTAATATTTTAAAGCATTATTGCATACCTTCCATGCTGTGGGCAGGTTTATAAATATAAATAAATCCGATTTTTAAACTGACTATTATTGATTGGTTAGGATCATTCGTGTGACTTTCCATATAGCGAGGCCTATGGAATCCATTCAGGAGCTACCAAATCTGATTTATTGCTCTATTTAGGGTCAAATATAATGCCTTCGTATAACCTACAACCAAATATATTAACTATGTAGAATCAGAACAGTATCGTTTCTAAATGGAAACATAATTTGTTGTAGAAGAACACATCCTTACAAAAGCGAAAATAAAACACAAGTACAACAATAAGCTACAATTTTTTCCACCATGAAGGCCTGCTTATGGATAGCTGCTCTTTAAATTCAATTTTACACAATTTTAACCTTTTATTCCCCTCAGTAATAAAACAAAACTGTAACTGCATAACACGTATATTCCACTCAAGTGTTAAATTTGAGTTTTGTAGTTTTCCTTTGCCACAGAAACATGTAACCTGCGATACACCCGGAATAAGATGAAATAAGGGAATTACCTCTTCGTGGGTGTTTTTTTGTTTTGTTTTTTCCCCCCCAAGAAGAAAATAAATAAATAATCCTCAGAACTCGTTCGTTTGGAGCCAAAGGCGTCCAGTCCGGTGGTGCACAGAGGAGTGGAGTGGTCGCTGTTAATGACGTGCACTTTCCATAAAAAAGTTGGTGACTTCTCGTGGACACGCATTCCACGCTCGTTCGCGCTTCAGCTGTTGCCTCGCGCGCGTGCACGCCGATGGGCTGCAGTCGCAGCTGCAAAAATACGTGGACCCTAAAATACAAAATACACCTAACTGCGCCCTCGGATTGTATGTTGTTCATATAAATAATGACATTATTATTATTATTATTATTACTTGGTCTAAAGTTAATGAGCTAAATATTGTATATGATGCACAGAAAGACCCCAAACCATCAATAAACATATGAAACGAATTTATTTCTGACAGAGTCACTCAAATGAGTCATCATTATCTTTAGCTAAAAAGACTTTACTATGTAACTCTTGGATAGGATTCCATCGATTCATGCAAATGTACACCTAATAAAGCATCTATAACATTGCCTACTTAAGAAGCATTTCTTAGACAACCCTGCTGATGTACCTCATTCAATTCTGCAAATATACCTAAAGTCCATGCATAGACCTTTTTGAGGATTTATTATTATTGTTATAATTGTTATGATTATGATTATGATTATGATTATCCATCCATCCATTTCCTATCCTCACGAAGGTCGCGGGCATGCTGGAGCCTATCCCAGCTGTCTTCGGCAGGAGGCAAAAGAAACCCTGAACTGGTTGCCAGCCAATCGCAAGGCACACATAGACAAACAAGCGTTCACACTCACACTCACACCTAGGGACAAGTTAGAGTTCTCCATTAACCTGCCCCGCATGCTATTGGAATGTGGGAGGATACCGGAGTACCTGGAGAAAACCCACGCAGGCATGGGGAGAACATGCAAACTCTACACAATCGAACCATGCACCTCTGCACTTTCGGGGTGTTGACACGGCACACATTTGCATCGGTGCTGTACCGATGTATTTAGTCGCGATATATCTTACACCGGTGTAAATTTTGTGGAGCGTTCATACGTATAAAGCTGCTTACTAAAGAGAAGCGTGTTAACCCCGGCGCAGCCCCACTTGCGTTCACACGGCAGTTTCTGCGGCCGTGCAATAGGATAGTAATAATACGGAAATAAAACATGCGCATGCGTAAAGTGTACTTCCTTTTCCATGCCTTGTTTGTGACATATCGAAAAACCATGGTTTATACTTCTCCAGACAAATTAACGCTGTGGTCTATCACACACCGTAAAAGGATGAGAGAGAGAAAGGAAAGAAGCGCAAAATACCCAGGATGCAAGTTATGCAATACCCGTATGTAATCAACTCTTCTTACGCGTAGTGAGTCTACCCTTGTAGCATTCACATGTCCCATTTTATATCGATGCTGCCCCCCAAACTAGCATTTACTCCGGAGTAAATTTTTAAAGCAGGGTTAAATTTGCTCCGGTATACCTTTGTATGTGTGAACGCTTTGGGGGGGGGGGCAGCCCTGGTGCGACACCGGAGTAAAAGTTGCCGTGTGAACACCCCTTCTGAGGCGGACTTGCTAGCCAGTTGTCTAACGTGCTGCCCTGTAATTTTTTTAAAAATTATTATTATTATTACTACTACATTTATGAGGCAGTACACATGATGGGGAAAAATAAAATGAAATTGCCATGTATGTTCCTGATGTGCGTGGTATACAGTAGCTACTTGACATGCCCAACGCGGTACACCACACACATAACAATATCGCCACTGACAATAAGGAGTCTTTATCCAATTTAGATGTCTGTCGTCTTACCAAGAGTCACCTGTGAGAAGAAAGAAGTAAAAATGCTAACTCTTAGCTTATCTGGTAACTAGAGCACCTTGTGGTGGTTTCTATTTTCGTCAGTGACTTGACCATGTTATAAAATCACCCAACACAACCAGATGTGTCTATTTAGGTTCAAATCAGAGCTCCGGCCTCCCTGCGTTGGGTTTTCCCAGGTACTCTAGCATCTCCCATATTCCCAAATCAGGCATGTTTGGTTCATTGAAGGCTCTAAATGGCCAAGTCAAGTTCACTCATTTAGCTTTTAATCACGAAAGAGTATCAAAGGGCTTAACAGATGACTAGGCTGCAATGGATACTGAGTGGGCAACACTAACTACACTAACAAGAACAGCATGAGAACTATAAGGTATATTGATGAACCATTCATCCACTGGTGCTGCCCAGCCAAACAATATAAAATATAATCTAATAATATGGTCACATCCTGCCAGAAACCTAGCCATCTGATAGGTGATTATGACAGTGGGTTCAGGCAGTCAGTGAATTAATTTGGCATGGATACCTAATGGTGTACTCTAAAATATGGTTTGTATTATTCAGGGTGAATTCACTGGATTGAATGTTGTTTCTTGGGGAAACCCCAAGCAGGTCAAAGCTCCAGCTAATGTGTACTTTGGGAAATTTGAGAGGCGCGACAGTGAGAACATGAATTTATATCTACAGTATGCGTGATTGTATTATTAAATGTTATGATTTAAATTTGGTGTACTGCCTAACAGCCAGAAAGTTGTTTTTTTTTCACACCTCTTGAGGTTTTCCCCTAGTGTATTTGAAAGTTCATGCCTGGCTCTGTCTTGCACTCTTTCGGGTCCAGTGGGGCATAGGGGATTACAAGGCTGCGGCTTTAAATAGTACCACAGCTGTGGAAACTAATCAACACTGTAAGGACAGCTAAACTGAGTCACACTGGGCTCTTCCTCTCAGCTGTTGGAGCACAACACCAATAGGACTCACATTTTCTTCTTGTAGTGGTACAACCCACCCACCCACACACACACACACACACACACACACACACACACACACACACACACACACACACACAAACTCAGTTGGTCAGGAGTTTACAGGAGGCTCTTAAGGATGGACACACCAGGTGTTTCAATAAATATCCGCGCCTGTCACAGTTAGGATGAGTTATCAAACACCGTAAACTGTAAAAATGGAGGGGGTGGGGGGGTTGACACATAATCGCTCAGTCATAATATCCACCTTTTCTCATGCTAACACCATATTCAGTATGTTACAATATTCAGAACGATGCAATATTCAGAAATACCTCTTTGGTCAATAGAAAGTAGGGGGGTGGGGATGTGTTCCAGAGTCAAACAGTCACCATCATAGAACTTCTATTCACTGAAGAAGTGATAATTTCAGTAACATTTGGTATGTGTAAAGATGTTTACCACAGGATTAAAAAAAAAAATTGGCACATATTTATTTGTGCCCTGCGATTGGCTGGCAACCGGTTCAGGGTGTCCCCCTCCTACTGCCCGAAGATGGCTGAGATAGGCTCCAGCACCCCCCGCGACCCTTGTGAGGATAAAGCGGATCGGAAAATGGATGGATGGATATTTATTTGTGATCTATCTACAGGTAAGTGTAATGATGGCCATATAACCAGAAATGGAACATTCAACATTATTAAGGATGTGGTTTATTTCAATGTACACACAGTGGTGTCATTAGATACAAGTTCAATTCATTCAATGACCTTGCTTGCAACTCAAAGCATTCATCACCTTTTATCGTTGAAATGAATCGAAATGCTGTTCCAGCCAGAAAAAAGAAAACAAAGTTTGTCATGTGGTTTTGAACAAGAAATATAGCACTCTACAATATGGTACTTCATGAAAACATAGGATAATGACATAATTACATAAAATGTAAAGAAATGAAACAGTTTTGGCCACTTTTATTTTTTTTGCTTCACTTCACTGGACATTGTGACCACCTTGGCCATGGAGCCGGTCTTAGCTCCTCTGTAAGCTGCAGTAATAATAGTCATGTTTTTTGCAGAGGATAAAGAGTATACATGTGTGATTATTGCTATACAGTATTATCTGTTCACATGCTGCTCCACTTTTTATGACGCAGATGCTATTTGTAGCTCATGTATTGTGTTTCTCATTGTGTTAGCATCAAGCTAGCCGCCTTTAACGCAGAGTTATATGGTTGTTTTAGATACACATGTAATTCTTTTTTTTTTACATTTTTTAGTTGGACAGTAAACTACTTTTTTGACAATGAGACGCTTTTTTTGAAAAAAAAAATAAAAAATACAAATAATAATTCCAGACTGTCAAACTCGTGCTTGTTTTGCAGTGAAATGACTTCATGGCCAATTTAGAGCACTTGTAAAAATTTTCCTCGCAGGTCAAAGGAAAAATCAGCCGAACGACAACTCGTACGTAGTTTGTAAAACTTAACGTAAGTCTGGTGAAAGCACCACTGTACTGTGTACTGTACTGTACTGTAAACATAGATCTCAGAAAAACATTACTTTCCCCACTGTATGACAAATGAAAATTAAACATTAAAAGTTAAAATCCTAGATAGGTTGATATACATTACAACAATAATATCCTCAATTATCCAAATGTTTTTTAACTATACTGTGGGCTAAGTCTTTGAAGACATTCCACTACCAATAAATATCCAGAGAGTTGTGCCAACAGTGATTTATTAGGCAAATTCTTGACAAAGGAACATTTTACAACCAAACTGTGTTCCTTATTTGTGCTGCCAAACTACTAGCGATAAGTAACTTTTTTTTTTGTACTTCAGTGAGCGTTGCCATGCAGCAGTGCCACCCATGAGCTGCACAAGTTGAAAGAAATGTCATTATTCAGCTCAGCTCAACCTCAGCTGTCACAAGAGACAGAACAGTTCAGTTGCTCAACAGGTGTCACCGAAACTCACGGCAAACTCTTGCCAAATATAATTATGCTCACGCAGCATACGCATAACTGATTTTTTTTAAATGACATTCTGCTTCATGTCGTCTTTACAGAACCAGAATCATCTTGATTGGCCAAGTATGTAAAACACTCAAGGAATTTGTCACCGGGTGTAAAAGCAACACTCGCATTACAGTAACAAGCAACTATAACAAGACGAACATTTAGGACATGACATATAAGTAAAGAGTCTTTACATAATGCAAGGCAACAACAAGTGCTGCTGTACCAAACAATAGCAGCTGTGCAAATGACGCAGGGAGTCATCAAGCAAA